AGAGCGAAGCTTCCAGGCTGGTGGCAATCCTCTCTGCAGGGGAGGAATGCTGGCAAAATCAATTCTCTCCTTCATTACAATTCGATCTGAAAACAGAGTAGCTTTTCTTCCAGGACTGGTAGTAAGAAACAGAACAAAGGCAACTACGGCTGAAAATAGGGAGATAAAGATGTTTGAAGATTGAACTGTGACTATTGCCCATGTTGTTTACCTGCCGCAGCATTTCTTTAAGCGCTTTGCCCCAGCAACCCAGTGCTACTCCAGTCCTTGTCTAGGGCGGCAGCACCACTTCAGGACTCCACCCTAGGACCATAAGGACTTCATTGGTTCCTGTAGGGTTCTTCATACCAAAACCATTCACTCATCCAGCCCCATCTGTTCTTGGTAGCGGCTTCGCCCCTCAAGGACGAGTCGTCCTGTGGCTATTAAAGAGACCTGACATAACAGGACATTGTGGGAATTTATACTTGATATTCAAATACTATAAGACTATAAGCATTAGAGTTAAGTAGTCTAGTCCTAGTTTGCCTAGCCCAGCGAGACTTTCCAAGATAAGATTGATCAGGCAGCAAACCCAGACGAAGACTTGCTTGCATTGTTTCACACTCCATCAATCTTGTGAATTGTGGAACGATTGGGGGGTTGCAAACATAAACGACCATGGCCCCGAGCTCAGGCCGAGAATGCTGTTTTCATTTGTTGCCCTTCAAAAGGGGTCACACTGGGAAAAGAGCATCATATTGATTCTTGCATGTTTCACTGAATTGAAGATTGAAGTTTCCACAGAAAACTTTTCCGAGATTCTTTTTCTCTGGCCAGCCCCCAACGCGCCCCAACTTGGTTGCTTGGGATGGAGCTCTTTAAGGGGCCTCTCCGGGGCCACGAGCCGAGGAACGTCCACTTCCTGCGCTTCTCGAATGGCGGACATCTCTTGGCTGCAGCGCAGGCCCGCCGGCTGTCGACAAGCCATGGGAAGCTGCAACTGAAGCACAAGCCCTAAAGCTTTGATAAGGGGACAATGGAGTGAAGTGCATACTTCTTGGCCTCTTAGCTAATTCCCTCTTCTCTCTTTCTCTCTCTCTCTTTCTCTATAATTCTCTCCCTCCCTCTGTTTTCTTTTTCGCTGTTGGTAGTTGAACCGTTCAGGTGGTCGGGCGGTCGGTTTGTGGATCTGTTGGTGTTCTTCTGTTTGTGTTTCTTGGCTGTTTGCCCCTTGGCCGTTTTCTATCCTTCTGCTTGGATGTATTTTGTTCGCTTCCTCGCTTCTTGGCCATCCGGTTGACCCGCCCGCATTTTTCTTCGCCGCAGTTCTTGGGTGCAGCGACGGGCGTGCGCCATGGAGGCCGAGGCGGCCGAGCCGGCGGGTGCCCCGGGTGCCCCGGCCGCCCCGGCCGTGGCTCCGCCTCCGCCGGCCGTCCTGGCGGCGCCGGCCCCGCCGCCGCCGGAGGTGTTGCCGAAGAAGGCCCTGGTGCTGGGGGACGAGCTGTTCCTGCTGAGCGCGCACCTGCAAGAGGCCTACCCAGATGTGGAGTTCACCGCCTGCTCCTCCCTATCCACCCAGAACATCACGGCCAAAGAGGGGAATCCCTTCCCGCCGGTGATGAAGGGCCGGGTACGGCACATGGTGAACTTGTTGAGCGTGGGCAAAAGTTTCCCCCCCGCCAGCTTCGACGAGCTCATCTTTTTCATGCCCGGCTTGAGCTTTTTGGTGCCCAAGGAGCTTGGCACGGCGGATCGGCCGTTGTTTGCCTACCGGGTCCACCATTTTATCTTCCAACTGCTGAGGTCCTGCAAGTCAGTTCTGAAGGGGGAGAGCGACTTGCGCCTTGGCAAAGTCGTGAACAAACATTGGCCAGCCAGCAACGCTAATATGATAGTTTTAACCAAAGTACCAATGACATAGATACATACCGCCAGATTCTATGTGTTCAGAAGTGTTTGTCTTGAATGACTTCTGGATTCCATGAGGGGCCTATCCTCAAACATGAGAGAGCTTTGTGTTCCGAAGCTCTTCGCAGATAATCACGGGCAGAGAGAACAACAATACGAATGATTCTGACACATTTTTTTAGGGCGGGCTGACTGGAACCGTTGGTTTGCATCTCGTTTCGGAGCTCGGAAAGCCCATGCCTGGACCCCGATCACTCAGCCAGGCACGTGGTCTGGCCAGAGGAGACCTGCCTCATGAGCTCCCCTTGTGGAGCCGCAGGCATTGAGCTGGTGCAGCTGCTGAAGCTGCTGGGCTGCCAGCAGAAGACCCCCGTCTACGGCATGGACAAAGCGCCTCGGAAAAGGCGGCCGGTGCTCCCAAGTGTTTTCTGGTCGGGCGGCGCAGGCGTTGAGGGCTTTGTTTGTCTTGGCAGATTGCAAGAAGATGGCTTTTCGCTGGTGGTTGTTGGTTCGCTCTGGTTCGCGTGGAACTGTGGTTGCATGTTCTTGGACCAGGTGGCATGGGATCTAATCGAATCCGAGATTTAAGTTCATTCCTTCTTTCTTTTTCTTTGATGCATGCATGCCATCCAGCCAGTTCAGTCCAGCAGTCCAGTTCAGTTCAGTCAGTCCAGTTCAGTTCAGTCAGTTCCGTTCAGTTCAGTCAGTTCCGTTCAGTTCAGTCAGTTCCGTTCTGTCCAGTCCAGTCCAGTCCAGTCCAGTCCAGTCCAGTCCAGTCCCAGTTCAGTCCAGTCCAGTGCAGTGCAGTCCAGTTCAGTCCAGTCCAGTCCAGTCGAGTCCAGTCCAGTCCAGTCCAGTCCAGTCAATCAGTCACTCCAGGTCATCCTCCTTTCATTTCATTTTAGTTCAGCTACTCTTGCCTTTCATTCGCAGAATCATGTTCATGTCGCTCATGCCATCGCATTGCATTCTATTTTCATTGTTTCTATTTCATTGGTATGAATTTTATGAATGTGCTTAGCTTATTCATGTCGTGCATTTCCTTCACTTCATTTGTTTCATTCATGTCATCGACTTCAACATTGTGGTATATTTCGTTCCTTCACTCATCACTTGGTCACTTGTAAGCCAATTCTCTTATTTACTCCTTTATTCATTTGCTCATTCATTCACTCATTCATTCAGGTACTCATACACCTTCTTCTTCAATTCACTTGTTTGGTTGATTGCTTGACTGGCTCATTGACTGATTGATGGACAGAGTTATTTTTTCAAAAGGTAAGTGTTTGTCAGTCTGATTGGCCGGCTGAAGGATTTTCTGTCTGAGTGGCTGACTGAGTGACTGTCTGCTTGACTGGCTGGCTGACTGATTGGCCGACTGACTCATCGATTGAATGGATGTCTGCCTGGATAGTCTGCCCAAAAGAAAGGGAATGCCGTGGCTTTGGTATGTGAAACAACATGCTTCGAATGTAGCCTTGAGCTGCTTTTTGTAGATCACATATGGGCTCTGTCTGGTTGGGAAACGCCGACTTTGAGGGCTATTTGTGGGTTGAATGGATTTGCATACGCATGAAGCACCTTCGGATCTCCCAAATTCTTTGCGGGGACTGTCTTCAAAGAGACCCGACCCTCAGCTGACTTTGACAGCCCACATCTGTCAACACACACACATAAACAACCACACAACCGCACAAGCACCAACACACAAGCACACATTCACACAAGCAGACACACACACACACAAACACACGCAAGCACAGACACAACCACACAACTACGCAAACACACAAACACGCTAACACACAACCACACAGGCACAAACAAACACAAACACAGGCACACACACACACACAAGCACCCAAACACACAATCACACAAGCACAGAAACACACACACAAACACAAGCACACACACACACACAAGCACCCAAACACACAATCACACAAGCACAGAAACACACACACAAACACAAGCACACACACAAACACACAACCGCACAAACACACAATCAAAAAAACCACAAGCACACAAGTGCACATACACAAACACACAAGCACACAAGCACAACCACATGTACACACACAAGCACAAAAGCACACAAGCACAAAAGCACACAAGCACACAAGAACACAAGCACACAACGACACAAGCACGCACACCACACACAGACAAACACCCAAACTCACAAACACACAAGCACACAAGCACACACGTACATAAGCACACAAGCACACAAGCACACAAAGACAAACACACAAGCACCAAAACATGCACACACACACAAGCACACAAGAGCACACAAGCACACAAGCACACAAGCACACAAGCACACAAGCACACAAGCACACAAGCAAACAAGCACACAAGCACACAAGCACACAAGCAAACAACCACACAACCACACAAACACACGAACAACACAAGCACAAACACCCGCACCACCACACACACGCAAGCACAAAAACACTCAATCACGCAAGAACATGAAAACCCAAGCACCCAAACACACAAACATACAAACACAAAACACACACACAAACACAAACACCAACGCACGCACGCACGCACACACACACACACCCACCGCACCCGCACACGCACACGCACACGCACACGCACACGCACACGTGCACGCACACGCACACGCACATGCACACGCACACGCACACACGCACGCACGCACACGCACACGCACACGCACACGCACGCGCACGCGCACGCGCACACGCACACGCACACGCACGCGCACGCGCACGCGTACGCGCACGCGCACGCGCACGCGCACGCGCGCACGCGCACGCCCACGCAAGTGCACGCGCACGCGCACGCACAAACACGCACAAACACGCACAAACACGCGTACACACGCACACACACACGCACAAACACACACACAAACACGCACAAACACGCACAAACACGCAGAAACACGCGTACACACGCACACACACACACACGCACAAACACGCACAAGCACGCACAAACACGCACAAACCCGCACAATCACGCACAAACACGCAGAAACACGCACAAGCACGCACAAGCACGCACAAACACGCACAAACACGCACAAACACACACAACCGTGCACCCACACACACACACACACACGCACACGCACACGCACACGCACACGCACACGCACACGCACACGCACACGCACACGCACGCGCACACGCACACGCACACGCACACGCACACGCACACGCACACGCACACGCACACGCACACGCACACGCACACGCACACGCACACGCACACGCACACGCACACGCACACGCACACGCACACGCACACGCACACGCACACGCACACGCACACGCACACGCACAACGCACCCCCCGCGCCCCCGCGCCCCCGCGCCCCGCGCGCCCGCGCGCCCGCGCCTCGCGCGCCCGCGCGCCCGCGCGCCCGCGCGCCCGCGCTCCCCGCGCCTGCGCGCCCGCGCGCCCGCGCGCCCGCGCGCCCGCGCGCCCGCGCGCCCGCGCGCGCACATGGCGTGCACGTGCACGCGCACGCGCACGTGCACCCGCACCTGCACCCGCACGTGGGCGCGTGGGCGTGTGGGCGCGTGGGCGCGCGGGGCGCGTGGGCGCGTGGGCGCGTGGGCGCGTGGGCGCGTGGGCGCGTGGGCGCGTGGGCGCGTGCGCGTGGGCGTGGGCGCGGGCGTGGGCGCGCGGGCGCGTGGGCGCGTGGGCGCGCGGGCGCGTGGCGCGTGGGCGTGGGCACCACACCCACGGCCCACGCCCACACCCACGCCTCGCGCCCACGCGCCCACGCCCACGCCCACACGCCCACGCCCACGCGCCCACGCCCACGCCCGCGCCCACGCGCACGCCCACGCCCACGCCCACGCCTACGCCCACACGCACGCACGCATGACGCCCATTACCGACGCACAATCCACGCCCGCCCACGCACGCCTGCCCACGCACGCACGCCCACGCACGCACGCCCACGCACGCACGCCCCACGCACGCACACGCCCACGCACGCATCGCCCACGCACACGCACGCGCCCACGCACGCACGCACCACGCACGCACGCACCGC